CCTTTCTCTGCATCCTCGCCAACAATTATTGTTTCTTGTGTCTTTGATTTTAGCCATTCTGACAGGTGTTAGGTGATATCTCGTTGCAGTTTTGATTTGCCTTTCCTTGATGATGAGTGATTTATAGCAGCATTATTTACAATAGTCAAATTTTAGAAGCAGCCCAAGTGTCTATTGATAGATGGATGGATAAAGAAGATAAAGATGTGGTATGTATACACGTGATATGGTATGACATATGGTGTGCATATCATAAGATGTGGTATGTATATACATACAATAGAATAACATTCAGCCATAAAAAGGAATGAAATCTTGCCATTTGTAACAACATGGATAGAGCTAGAGAGCATAATGCTAAGTGAAATAAGTCAGAGAAAGACAAATACCATAGGATTTCACTCATACATGGAATTTAAGAAACAAAACAAACGAGCAAGGAAAAAAGAGAGAGAGAGAGAGAGAGAGAAGCCAATGAAAAGACTCTTAACTAGTGAGAACTAATGGTACCAGAGGGGAAGCGGGTGGGGGGACAGGTGAAATGGCTGATGGGGATTAAGGAGGGCCCTTGTCCTGATGAGCACTGAGTGACGTATGGAAGTGCCGAATCACTATATTGTACACTTGAAATTAATATAACACTGTATGTTAACTAGACTGGAACTAAAAAAAAAAGAATAGTTGGCACAATTAGAACCTTGATTTTTTTACCTTTCAGACACATACTGAAATGGCCAAAAAAACTTGGCAGACTTGTAAAAAGATTATTTTTCTATGTATTTTTAATCAAATATAAAAATATGCATAAGGTGATATGCCTAACACATAAATATTGATTGCAATGTAATTGATGCTATAGAATAACTGCTCATTCTTTGATCATGAGAAAAATAAACAAACAAACAGAAAGTACAGGATTGCTTTTGCCCAATTACCTACCTGCCTTCTAGAACTGTGCTGTGCTCTGGGCTAGAAAGTACACAATTCAGGCCAGATTGTACTTTCAAAAACATTTCCCCTTTTGTGATTGATGTATCATAGATATCAGAACAACACTGAGCTTTTAAATAATCTGCTGATATCATCTATTTTTCAGGAGAGAAGGGAGGCTCCTCCCTCAGTGCTCATGACTAAGGCTATCTGTATGGAAACAGGCTCCGGGTTGCTTAGGAATTCATTGGCTCCTGGCTGTTTGTTTCCCATTCTACTTGAAGCGGTAACCTTCAGTCTGCTTGAGATACCATCATTCATCTTCAGAGCCATGGAGTGTCATGCTACATAAAAAGAGGTTATTTTTTGAAACACCTTTAACAGATTCCTATCAAGTAAAGGAAGAGCCAAGGTAATGGTTGCATGTCTAACAGGAAATTAGAACATTCATGTACTTCAAGAGTCTCCCTGGCAGTTTTTTTAAGGTGACTTTAAAAAAAAATGATCAGGTTTTCTTTTGTTTTTTCAAAATACTAAAGTAATATATGTTCATTGTAACAAGGTAAATAATTCAGAGCCGTATAAACTTCCATTGCCTTCCCCCTTCTCATTCCAACCTATGCTCTTGAGGATGACCCATTTTAAAGCCTGATGTGTATCACTCCATGTTTTACCATGATTTTTATATAATCTTAAACAAACACATATATACATAACACATTCCAGTTTTGTAACACAACCTATTACAGATCTGATATTGTTCGGCAATTTGCTTTTTAACTTAACATTATTATCACTGACATCTTTCAAAGCCAATATACACAGTTTGACCACATTGTTTTGAATGATTGCATAGTATTTCATTGTGTTAACATAAAATAACTTATATAGCCATTTCCCTGTTGAAGAAAAAGTCTTTGCTGAATGTTTGTTACTATAATGTTAGAGTTAACATACTATACATATTTCTCTATATATTATTTATTTCTGTAGGATAGGTGATATATCAAAGAAAATGCAAATTCTTAATTTTTAAAAAATGTTGCCTACTTACTCTCCCAAGAGACAGAGCCAACAGTATTAGTGTGTGACCTTTCCCCAACAACTTTGAGAAGACTGGATATGGATATTATCAATGTTTCTAAATATTGTCAAGCAAGTGGATTTAAAGTATCATGTTTTATTGTTTTAATCTCCACTTCTGTGGGACTAGTTTAAATATTCAGCTGCTGTTTTGTTGTAGTTCCTATTAAAAGTTATGTTCATCACTTGTCAAAGGACAATGAGCTTTTTCTACATTCCTTTTTTAAATCCTGAAGGGCACAGACCTTTATACTATTTGCTTTGTAAATGCCCCATGAGACTATAGTTGTTAACTTACCTACTAGAAGACTTAACCTTGCAATTCTATTATTTGAATTAAATGATGTTACCCAAATCAAACTACAGGATTCTAATTTTTAATCATCTCACCTAAGTTCAATCGTAACAATCAAAAGAGGTTTTGTCAACCCTCTATCCTAGCTATCACAGCCAAATTACCAAAACATTAAAAACCAAGGGAGCAACCAAAATTTATACAGATTATCAGTAAAGGGTAACATGGTAAGAGGGTGGCTAAAGGGCACCTTTGAATTAGGGGACAGGAAGGCTTATCTGCGGTGGTAATAATTAAGAGCATAGTGTCAAGAAAGAACCAAGTGCGTGCAGTTTAAGAAGAAGAGGGAATAAGGGAAGCATGGTCAAGAAACAGATGGGCTAACCTATCTAGGAAATAGTAAGGTGGGAGAGAACAGCAAGATATAGTAGGACGGATTGTACAGATAGAAAGTGAAGTCGATCTGGGGATAGGAGGTAGGAGTCAAGAGTCTTGCTCCCACCTGTGAAGTATGAGACCCATTACATATCCAAGTATGGATGAAGATACGCAACTCCAGACGTGACTCCAGAGTCAAGGAAGGGGCCAGGGCTGACAATAGAGATTTAGGAGACATTGGCATCAAGATGCCACTGAAAGCCACTGGACTCCATAAGATCACATAGAGGTCATCCAGAGAAGCGAAAACGTCAGAGAGTGCATACACTGAGATACCACATCACAGTTAAGCACCAAATGTTCTTCAAAAATACAGTTAATCAAAATTACACTATGTTGTAAAGACAGGACTTTGAACATTAGATATGTCTGAAGTTTTGATATGCATTATTTTAGGGAATCTTATACTGAGTTGTAAGGCAAAAATTTTATATTAAAATACCAATAATAATCCCCAAAGCATTTTTTTGAGTTTAGATACTCATGGGTGAAGTGGCAGCATTCTGAGTAAGTCATGATTACAGATATATAGATACAAAGTGTTCTGGGTTCATGTGTAAACACAGGTTACTATCTGTCACAAAGCCTTACAGGATGCACATAAAGTACTGGGTAATGGAAGGAATTTTTTAAAAAAGATTTCTTATGTGAGACAGTAACTTAAAAACAAACTTAAGGACTTTGATTCCCATGACTTTGAGAGTGAGTCCCCTCCTTAAATTCTGCAACCTAGGTGCTTCCCTGGCCCCACCCTAGTCCTAGCCAGCTGACTCCTTTTAGTTAGTCTGAGAATATGTGTTTCATTTCATTGATTCAAGTGATTAAATAATGAACGTGCATATGTCAATTAAAATATTAACATCAAAAATAAAAAGTCTCAACTTAAGGTCTGAAAAAGCCTTGAAAATTGACAAAGTCCATGACCTAACAAAAGTGAAAGTAAATAGACCTCGACTAAAATTTTAATCTCGTAATTTAGTTTACATCATGTAATTGGTTCTTGGAGGGTCACTTTTCAAAGAAAAAGTCCAATACTGTAACCAAGTAAATCCAATGTATATTGAATTTTCAGTTCTCTTCACAAGTTTCTTTCCTCTTTTGGCAATGAAAGTAAGAGAAAGAGTGGCTTTATCATGAAATTGAAACAAATACACAGAAAAACTTCAAAGATCAGTTTTGTTTTGAAGCCATTAAGCAAGTGCCAGGAATTTTCCAAGTTAATAGCTGAAACTCTTAAAATACCTGCTGGCTTGGAAAATCATATTTATATATTAAATACGAGTTGAATTTCTTAATCTATGAATAAACAATTTTAGCAGATAATCTATTTTCATGATTCATTAAATGTATTATTTTTAACATACAGATATATTAGAAATATGGAATGCATAAAATCTTGATTAAACCCAAAGTAATAAATACATAAGACTACATGAGTAACAATTTTATTCTAAAAACAAATATAGTATACTGAATGAATACAGCAATTTAAAAAAAAAGAGTAAAACAAAATGGACTTAAGAGAAATGCAGTTTGTTCAGGCACAAAATCAGATAATGGAGAAACAGTTTACTTTTAAATATCATTCACATTCCTCAGGTTGATTGGCACATTCATATCATTAACTGTTTATAGAAAATTTAACTTGCAACAACAGCTAAACGGATCTGGTTTCAAAGTTCAGAAAAAAATTGGAATTACAAAGACCTGATATTTTTATTCCAAAAATGCTATAATTAAAATTAAATTTTTCACGTCATTTTAATCCAACTAAATAAACTTCATGGTCTAAAAACTTAATTTCAAATTTCCTGTCTCATACTGCAATGGTAAGAAAATCAGGATAAATACACACAATGAAGTCTATACTTTCCATAAATAACTATATGAAAACTTGAAAAGAGAAAGAATCGAGTATTGTATATTTATTCAATAGCCGAAGAAAGAGCTAGCACATTTTTAATGTCAGACATGTAGCTATCTCATCATTCAATATGAGCTAGATAAATAAATAAAACTAATAGAAACACAGCAAAGATTAAAGAAATACACTCATTCTAAAACAGAACAATGATCAAAGTAAGAGTGTTCACACAGAAGTCAGAAAGGCCATGGACAGTAAAAACCTGTAAGAACAGTAACAGAAAAGAAAAAGACAAGTAATAAAGTTGACTTAAATCAGTAGCACAGTTTTACTGAAGGCAACGTGATCACTATTCAATTCAGGGTTTAAAAGAGAAAGAGTCTTACTTACCTGAAAGAGGAACATACACAATACATAAAGCAAGTAAGAACAAAAGAGAACTTGGCTTCCATTTCCAATGACAGTTCCACATTTGATCTGAGTGAAACATCCTGCAATGGAAGAAAGCAACCATCAGGACACTCAGTATTCAGCGAGGCATTAGGACAATCATAGTCCAAGTGTAGGTTTTCAGCAGAGATTGGAAAACAGAAATCGTTTTCAATCCTGCTTCCAAATAAGGAAATTTAACAGTGATAAACCAAATCACCGCTTTTAGGCTAATGAGGCAAAAGAAAAAAAAAAATCCATGCATGTCATTTGCCATTTGGTGGCACCTTCCTTATCAGCGAATATACATAACAGGCGATTTCCCAATGAAGATGGGGAAACATTCAGATAATTCAAGTTCATTTATTAAAAAATAAAGCAATTTCAGTTTCAGCCTTCAGCATCACCAGTCACATGCCCATCTGGGTGGCAAGAGGATTTTATATCAACCTCTCCTATAATCTTCCAAAATTTATTTTTTTAAAAGAATTTTATTTATTTATTTATGTAAGAGAGAGAATGAGAGAGAAAGACAGCATGGGGGGGTGGGGTCAGAAGGAGAAGCAGACTCCCCACCGAGCAGGGGAGCCCTATGTGGGACTCGATCCCGGGACTCCAGGATCATGACCTGGGCCGAAGGCAGTCGCTTAACCAACTGAGCCACCCAGGTGCCTGATAATCTTCCAAAAACTTAGACTTTAAGGAAATGCTGTCATTTTATAACATCTGCTGCTTTACAAATGGAAATATTTAAAATAAAAATAAATTGTCCAATTGTCTTCTTTCCCCTAAAGCAATGAAGTACTAACATTCAAAAAGAATAACTTCTTTATATATAACAATAGCTATCAATGTTTTTAAATGACTAGCAAACACCAAGTATTATAGAACTAGTAAATGACATTAGAGGGAGGGTCGATGCTTTGAAAATTCTCAATTATTTGTCTATACAGTAGTCTCATCTTTAAACTCAAAATTGTACCTAATAATAATTTAGATAGGAACATCCATATTATCTTGGCATCCAACAGTGGTATGATACCTTGCATTAACTCAACCCCATCAGAAGAGGCAAGCCTGTGAATGGGGCAGCAAGTATAAATGTCGGTCACCATAAGGGCCATAAATAGATTGGTGAGCATGAGAGCCATCAGGCAGGAAGATGGTTAAGTAGCAGTAAGAAATCTCCAGATCTTAAAATCTCCAAAGGGAGTTACCATGGTTCCAGGTGATAATTTAGTGTCTTTTTATTTCTAAAAAGAGAAACAACCAGTAAGATACTGTAGGATCACAGTAATACCTTCTGTGTAATGCCTGAAGGTTGCTTATCTGGAGTAAATATGTAATACCAAACACAAAACCAGAAAAGTAGGAGAGGGAATACTCAAGTCAGCAAAAATAGACATCAAATGATGCCTCCACTTGCCTCAAGCCTTTATTTCCCATCCATCCTTTACTGTTAGAGACCACCTAAGCAGCAAAGAGAACAAGCTCTAGAGTCAGACAGACCAGGGTTTGCTACTTGTAAGCTATGCAACCCTTGGGAAATTTACTTGACCACCCTGCACCTCCTATTTCTCACCTATAAAATAGAAATGGCAGTAGAACCTAAACCATAGAGTTGCTGGATGACTAAATCAGATCATGTCTTTTAAGGACAGTGCCTGACACTCAGCACTCAACAAACATTAGCTATTACTACCATCCTGGGCATTCTAATAGAAGTATGGTTATTCTGTCCATACTAAAATCAAAAGAAAAGGCTTAAACAAAAACGGACAATAGGATGTCATAAACCAACACCAATCAATTGACTTCGTGACTACTTCTGGATCACCTGGGAACAGAAATGGAATGGATTATTCATGTCTGCCATGAACACAGAAATTTTGAGTAATGTCTGATATCCATGCCATGTTTTTATATTCATCCAACTAGAAGTTCTAGCATCACACAGCTCCTAATGGAAATTCTAAAGTAAGCAAAGCTTAAGATCTGAAGAGTAATTTTCTGTATGGAGAGCATGTTTTAAAATACATCCATCCAAAACAGTTGAAATTTAAAGCAACGTTACTACTTACGAGAAGCAATATGCCACAGTACATCATCATCATAATATAATAATAATGGATGTGAACTCTGGAATAGCAGAATTACAACCTGGTGCCTCTATTTATTGTGTGACTTTAGAGGCAAGTCCTTAAAACTCTGGACTATTTCCTCTTCTGTAAATAGGATATCATCCATCAAAAAGATAGAGATAATACTGCATGGCACTTGGTAAGGGCTTTAAAAATGGTAGACCATAGGGGTACCTGGGTGGTTCAGTTGGTTAAGCATCTGCTTTTGGCTCAGATCATGATCCCAGGGTCTGGGATGGAGCCCCACATCAGGCTCTCTGCTCAGATGGGAGCCTGCTTCTTCCTTTCCCTCTGCTCCTCCCCCTGCTCCTGCTCTCACTCTCTCTCAAATAAATAAATAAAATCTCAAAAAAAAAAAAAAAGGGTAGACGATAGACTTCTGTTACATGGAAAGTTCACTCATTTGGAAGAATGGGTACATTTGCCATTGATGTTGGATGAATGTGGTGTTTCCAATTCATGCCAAGGATGAACGAGTATGCTTCTAAAAAAAAAACACAATTATATATTCAAAGAAATTTAGAGCTGGGAAGACCAAAGATGAAGTCTAACCTTATATCACAGAAAAGGAAGCTAAGGACCAGGGAAATAAAGGAGGAGAGCATCAAAACTGGCTGCCTGTTGTACCATTAACAGTCAGGAGTGTCAGCCCAAGAGAACTCCCAGCTTCTCAAGCTTTGTGGCACATGACAGTTTTCCTTTATCTATATGTAAATAATGGTCCCCTCTTAGATTTATGTGCTCTCGCAACAATCCTCAAGGAATCATGTTTGTTAGCTTGGCAACATTCAATTCTATTTATTTCATCACACAACTTTCTTTTGCTACAAGAGGTTCTGACAGTTAGGGATTCCAGACTCAATCCTGAAGCTGTTTTACAAAAGCTGCCTGCAATCCTTTCAGACAAGAGCTGCAAATGATGATCCAGCGCTTCGTGCATTCTGGGTCTCAAGACTCCATCACTTCGTATTGAAAAGGAACGCAGGACAGGGCAAGCACTTGGAACCAAACTTAAACCCCATGACAAGTCAACTTTCATCCAGTTGACTGTTTACTGAAGAACAGAAACAAATTAAGAATAGAACAGAGGAAGGAAAGCACTGTGTGTCTTCTCAGGGGATCACTTAGCAAAGACACATCCCTGAGATTCAAACAACTTTCTCACAAGAACGGAAAATCCTGAACAGGGTTACTAAGGTTCTAAATGGGAACCATAAAAAACATAATGCAATCTTCTATCACTTAAGTTGTAGCCTCAAAGTTCTGAAGAGAGCAAGAACGTTTTATTTTTTTAACTAAAAGAGTCATACATAGACTTCTATCGCCTGAACAGAATCTAAAAATTATGCAATAAAACCAATCACTGCACAGGCAAAAATGTTACAAAGCTAAACTACTTGCCCAAGATCACGTAATCCGTGGTGGCAGTGCCAAAACACCCACTGGGTCACCTGGCTTCCAAGTCACCTACCTCTAACTGCAAACTTGCTTCCCTTTTCAAATGGCATAGGCTACAAAACACAATATGCTTGAATCCTATTTCAGGAACTCTAGAACTTAACCGTTCTATAGGAATTGTTTTAACACCAGAATGACCCCTTGTAAATGCAACTGAATCCAAACACATCACTAAAATAATATGTAATCTAGAAAACCTACCATCTTGCACCTCTTTAGTCCTGCGGGGTCCCTTAAAAGTCAAATTTAAAGAGAAATTAGTGAAGACATTTTGAAATCAGTGGAGAAATTGACACGGCACTAATCCTTTTACCCACAATGGTCAGAATTACATTCACTCCCCATCTCCCAACTGTATTTCCATGTCAAATTCTTATCACAAGGGGGCATGAGGAGTAGCACAGAGTACCTTAATTCTTCTAGAGTGAAAAGAAAGTAATTTGGTTTATTCAAGTCTGCTCATAATTGTATTTCTCCTTTTGGTTAAATATCATGTTCTGAGCCAAAGCAATGAATAAAAAGAGAAAGTGCTATTCTATTACTCAATTCGAGTTCTTTTATTAAGTTGGGTTCACCCCCACTTCAAATAGGTAGAAGAATTTATTCTTCAAATCTGCACAGATCTTGACCCTTATTTGAGCAGAAACATCCCTCCTATCATGACTTGTACCACAGGTGAAATTAAAAGGCAACCCTGAGAAACACATCTGAAAAAGAGTACTGTATCAATATCCTGGTTGTGGTATTGTGCTACAGGTTTGCAAAATGTTACCACTGGGAGAAACTGGGTAAAGGGTACACTGGATCTCTACTATTTCTTCCAACTGCATGTAAATCTACAAACTTCTCAATAAAATTTTCAGTTAAAAAAGTAAAGCCTGAAACCCTGATGAATATAACTTAACGTTCAGGTGATTCAGAAAATACTGTGTGTGTGCGTGTACAGAGAGTAGGGGGTGGAGGGAAGAAGAAAGGATGGAAAATAACAGAAATGGGGTAAACTTTTACATTAAGTGATTCTGCATAAAGGATAAACAGGTGTTGTATTATTCTTGCAACTTTTCTGTAGGTTTAAAATTATTTCTAAAAAAATTTCAACACAGCCATCCACATTTACACTGAAGTGTATCAATGTTTATGTCATGATACTCCCATCACTATTACTGTTTCATCATCACCAGTTTGATAGAAGTAGCATCTCATTTGATTTTCCTTTATTTGGATTGGCATGTTCAAGTCAGTTTTGTAGTTTATCATAATAGAAATATTTTTCTTACTGATTTGTGAATTCTTTTTACCAATCCTATATGAAATATGTTCAGCCTTTGTCATATGTGCTACAAATGTTTTAAACACAGTAATCTTGAAGTTTTCCTTAGGGCATTCCAAATAATTCCATCCTGAGTAATGCTTATAAGGGAAAGTAAGATGATACTCAGGTAGCCACGTTCAAGTTTTATTGGCATTTTTAGTTACCACTGAAAAGTCCTTTAAATGTTATCGCCTCAGTCACCCAGTATGCATCTTAATGCCATCCAAGGTAGATAATATAATAATGGCATCCAATCAGAAACAAAATGGAAAGATACGGGGGTTTTTTGCCTAAGCATGCCACACACATCGAACAAAGTCTTACTCTATTTAGTCTAAAGTCTAAATTGTCTCTAGATACTTTTAATCATCCCATCAGAAATGTAAACTCTGTAAGAGATGGGCAGTTAGAAAAATGGTCAAGTTTAAGGAAGTGGTTGTCAGTTTATTTTTAATGTATAAACTGATTCTCTTTCAAATCATTATTTCCAGAAATCAGAGTGACGCGTTCAGTTAGGCAGTAAAACTACAAGCTTCTAATATTTCCCATAAGCCAAGAGACAATAGCCTCATTCACCATTCACACTGGAAAAGCACAATGTCATGTAATTTATATAAGCCATAAATGGAACGAACAGGAGCTTCATGCAGTTTGAGACCAGTTAACACAAGTCTTGCTAAATCTATTAAATTTCTTAGGATATGAAAAATATGTAGTCATTACAACTCCAAATATATTTATAAAATCTGTAATTTCATGACCTGAATGTCACAATATATTAATACTTTCTTCACAAAGAGTAGGCAGAAAATAGTTTGTGAGCTTGAACCCATTAAAATTAAAACTTAAAAGATAATAGAATTTGTGTTCCCCATTTTAACATTTTTCAACAAGATAGTAAGAATATTTACTTTGGAAAGGCTGGTATTATTTCCATATTTTCTAACACACTAATATCTAAAAAGAATCTGATCTTAAACCATTCCGTTATGAGTTATAAACAGCAAAATGGAGAAAGAAACAGTTATAATCTGGCAAGAAATGGAAAAACTTTCAGTCAAAAAAGCTCAATAAAGAAACTCAAATCAGGGTACTAAACTCTGTATTTTATGTGATTAAATATTCATATTTTTACTCTATATGACAAAAGAAGTTTTAGTCATGTGCAGTTCAAATGGGCTATATAACAACTGCATAATGAGGAATTCTGTACATTACCTGTTGATCAGTTTCACGTTTTATTTTAAAAATTGGTATTCACACTTTTTTTCATTTTCCATGAGATCTAAATTACCTAGGAAAGCTGAAAGGAAGCTACACAAATACCTGCTGTTAAAAACCTTACTATATTTTTAGGAAAAACTGAAGTTTAAAACAAATTCACATTCATTCAAAATGTGTCGCCTGTAGGTGAGAACCAGTCTTATGTGGGACTGTTGGCTGTATCCCAAGAGAAATTATTTCAGGTTATACCTTGCCGATTCCACTGGCATAAATGAAACCTTAAAAGTCACAGGTGTGGAATTACTTCACATGCAGTTTTAATAAAAATACTAGTTGTTTTCTAATTACCCTGCTCACCACTAGGAACAGAGGGGTAGAGGGCTAGGCTTGTGGGCACTACTCTTTCCCTGTTTTAAAACTGTGTGCTGACTGGAGAGAGGAGGAGAAGCTGCAAGGAAGGGAAAGGCAGGGCCTGAGGCGCATGTCTTTTCCCAGGTATTAAGCTGAAAGAGGAAATTTTCATGGAAATACTTAAGGATCCAGTAGCTGGGGAAGGGAGGGTGAATATCAATTTCTAGAAACACTTGTATATTAGTGGAAGGGAGTAAAATCTCTGTCAGGGTATCTGCTCAATATTAAGTAAAACATCAGAGGGAAAATTACACATTACAAGAAAAAGCACCTTCTGAATTGGCCACAAAAATAGGCCCTTTTTAGAGCAATCTCCCTTTTTGCATTCAGGAAGGCCCAGGCCCTGCTGGGTGGCCCTTTCGCGGGGTCGCTCTGAGGAACCTCACCACTTCGATGGTAACTCCGTAAAATCAAAACCTTTTAGGTTTCTCTGACCATTCATGGCTCTATGTCCCCCACTTACAATTCAAGGCAGGTCGCCTCCCAGGTCCCATCCCGTAAAATGGCATATCCCTTCTTTACTTTTTAATCTACAAAATACAACCAACAAACTTTTCTGCGCGTTTTTTTTTTTAACAATTCAAATAACCCAAATATCCAAGAATAACTTCTATAGTCAAGGGTGATAATGTGTAAAGTCAACATTTTCTCGGTATACCAGTACCTTTCCAAGCCCCCAGGTGTTGATCCAGGATCCCTCTTTCTTGGCAGGGCAAGGCCCCTGGATAGAGGAGCCGCGCCTGTTAACTCCTTGTTTAATTTGACTTGAAAACACGTTTTCCCCATTCTTGAAGCCCTGCCCTTTTTATTATGCTTTACACCGCCCAAATGTGAGGTTTACCTCTCCCTGGGAAAAAAAAAAAAAAGCAAGCCGCACACACATGTCACAGCTCCGCCTGGCAATACCAGCTCACTCCTCAGTGCCTCAGGAGCCAAACTGAAGACAAACCGGTTTATTCTGTCAATGTAGTCCTTACAAAATCATTTAGTTGAGGTGGGGGTGGAGGAGTAGATACGGGTAAAGGTGTGAAGGAATTCTCAGCTGAAAGGTGAGACTTACATGTTGGCATCACTGCGCTGAGGTCCCCAGGGGCCGCACGGTCATGGTCCACAGTGTTTCCCTGGTTCTGCTGCTCCGAGTTCCCCAGTGGAGACCCCGGGCGCCCGAGCCGAGCGCGGCGGCCGGACCCTCCTTCACGCTCTTTCTGGAGAGTTCATCGGGGTTTCCCGGCAGCCACTCCACGCCCGCGCTCGGGGCGGCGCAAGGTGGAAGGCCCGCGCTGCGGAGTTCAAGTGCGGATCGTCGCGGCTAGAGGGCGGGCGGGGCGGCAGGTTCCCCCTTACAGACAAGTTAAAAAAAAGTTGGGGCGAGAAGGTGAGGACGGTTGGGTCTGCCTCCGAGCTGGTGCTGGGTGCTCGAGGTGATCTGGGCCGGGCGGGGGTGGAGGGGTCTGACCCGGCAAGTCCTAGCCCCCGCCCGCGGGAGGCGGCACGTGGTCACCCCTTTGTGGCTCTCGTTGCCCCCGCCCGCCGGCCCGCCGGCTGCAGCAGCTCCCAGCGCCCGTCCCCTCGGCCCGAGCTGGGGGCTCAGGTGCGGCTGCCCCGGCGGTGTGCGGCGTCTGACCGGGCCCCACGCGGCCCTGGGGCGGCCCCAGTCTCGACGGTCCGCTGCGGGGGCCGTCCCCAAAGCGCGGCTGCCCCACCCAGGATCGCCTGCCCCGGGGCAGAAAGGGAGAAGTCAGACTGCGATGCAGGAGAGGCGCTCCCCCAACGGGCAGCCGGGTCGGGATGGGCGATTGGCGCTGGGCCTCGCTCGGCTCCCAGCGGGGGGAGGGGACGGGGCGGACCCGAGGTCACCAGAAAGCCGTGAGTCCTGAATTCAGGAGATTTGTCCGCGCAAGAAAGGAGACGCTCGGAATGGGGGTGGCGATGTGGGCATCTCCTCCCCGTCTGCTGGGATTCCGCCCTCTTACCCACCCAGGACCCCGCATGGGACCCCTCCACCAAGCTCCCGGGCCGCCGCTTTGCTGTACTTTTCTTGTTCTTTTATGTCCCTTTGCCTTCCCTGCTCTCTTCCTTTTCTTCTTTTTTCTTTCACCTCTCTCCTCTCTCTTTCTTCGTTCTCTTGTTCTTTTTCCTTCTAAAAATCGGAGTGAAGGGAGAGTGCGTGTGTTTCCGGTACCATCGCCTCATCTCGTGGTCTCTGCGGGGAAAGGGGATGGTCTCCCACCACACCCTCCTCCACGGAGGATGAAGACCAGACATAAGAGGAGGCTGAGAAGGCGACAGTTCCAGTGTAACTATTCCCACCACCGCACCCACCACAGATACACCCACTACCTGCTCCCCCTGATTTGCTGACACCTATAGTTCCATAAATACATAGTCATCATTTTGGCTTAGAATTTTGTCTTCTTCATTACATGCCTCTAAATACCCACGAGGAGTGGTAATACGTAAAACCTTTGCCACTGCCTTTAGTTTGTGTTGTTCAAATCCCTTCGGAAAAGAAGTGTTTGAAGGGGGAGTGGGTGCTGTGGTATGAGGTGGAAACACACGGGGCTGTCTGAAATTGGGTGCAGACGGATTCAGTGAAAGCAAAACCTGGCAGGACTAGTGGCAAACTGCTTGGTCCACAGTGTTGACTGATAACGTCCTGCTAGAACCCTCTCTACTGCTTCACTGGGACTTAGAGATGGGACTAGATAAATTGCATTTTCTTTTTAAAATCACCATTAAAAAAAAAGGAAGGGATATTAACAGGGGGCTGGGAAAATGTTCACATAACATTTCATTCATCAATATTGATTTGCAAATACAAATCCAGTTACTCATTGGGGAAAGTACACTGCCTGGACTCCAGGGCTCCTACAAGTAGCTGGCAGGTGAAAAGATCTGGAAGCACCTCCTGGGTGATGAGAAAAAAAAGGACTCACACTTGGAAAGTAGCTCCCTTCCCTTTGTGAACTGCCAGAGTTAATCCCTGAAATGCTGGAGGCAAATCTTCCGGTGACAGAGCTGGATTACACATCCAGAGCCAGAACAGCCCAGCTTGAACTGTGAGCATGCACACGCATACATGAACAGGCAACACAAAGAAGTGCCAAAAAAATTTATATAACGTTGATGGGCTAGTGATAGAAAACTGTTGGGGTGGAAAAAAAGTAGAGCAGGACTTGAGCACAGACAGCTACTGACAGAAAGGAAGCTGGAAGACTGCCACCAAATTCAGAGGCCTGAAAGTCCAGGGTGTGCTCTTCTCGTGACTTTTATCAGCGTTTATTTTGATGAATAAACAGTATAATTAATAGAGACATGGAATTTAGCACTTAAGGGAAACTGAAGTTCCTCCATCCAGCGCTCTCTTATTACAAAACGGGAAATGAGACCCAGAGATGTGAGGTCTGCACTAACTAGCTGGAAGTGGCCAGGGGCTAGGATCCAGGTCTTACAATTCAAATCAGTCTCTATGACACCAGAATGTCCTAGGAAAATTTAAGTGCCACTCATAGAATTTTCTTTAGAGCAACAATATTTATTATTTCACGGTTCTCAGGTGCAGTCATCTGAGGGCAACTTAGCCCAGTGTCTCACAAGACTGGCTAAGGCTGCAGTCTCATCTGAAGGCATGACCAAGGAGTGAGCTGCTTCCAAACTCATGCGTGTAGTTGTTTCTCTCGGAATTTTAAAGCTAGGGAACATAAGGGCAAACAATGAAATATAACTGTTTTAGGGCTCTTTGGTGAAACAGAATGAACAGGATGTATATGTACATATAAAGAGAGATTTAAGGAATTGGCCCATGTGGTTGTGGGGGTACAAGTTCAAAATCTGCAGGGTAGCCCCGCAGGCTGGAGACTCAGGGAAGAATTAAAGTCCAAGTCCAAAGGCAGTCTGCTGGCAGAATTCCTTCTTGATGGCAGGAGGTGAGTCTTTGTTCTACTAAGACCTTCCACTGATTGGATGAGGCCCACCTACCTTAGGAATGTGCTTTACTCAATGTCCACTGATCTGAATGTTAATCTCGTTTAAAAAACATCTTCACATAGGGGCTCATGGGTGGCTCAGTCATTAAGCGTCTGGCTTTGGCTCAGGTCATGATCCCAGGGTCCTGGGATCGAGCCCCTCATTGGGCTCCCTGCTCTGTGGGAAGCCTGCTTCTCCCTTTCCCACTCCCCCTGCTTGTGTTCCCTCTCTTGCAGTCTCTTTCTCTTTCAAATAAATAAATAAATCTAAAAAAAAAATCTTCACAGAAACATCCAGAATAATGTTTGACCAAATATCTGGATGCTATGGCCCAGCCAAGTGGACATATAAAATTAACTATCATAGTAACTGAAGCAAATGTACATATGCCTAGAAGGTAGGAGTAGTATATTTACATGTGCCATTATATGCTAGAATGTTCATAAATGTATATATTATTTCTATATGATTACATGAATCATAGTAAAATATTTCTCAAGACAGGGCCTGTCATTCATCAGCACATTAGTAAAATCTGTGTATTTTGATACTTCTGTCCTCAAACTGAGGATTTATTCTTTTCTTTGAAAGAGCTTATTGGGGGAGGGCGCCTGGGTGGCTCAGTCGGTTAAGCATCTGCCTTTGGCTCAGGTCAGGATCTCAGGGTCTGGGAATTGAACCCCTCATTGGGCTCCCTGCTCTGTGGGGAGTCTGCTTCTCCCTCTCCCTCTGGCCCTCCCCCCTGCTTGTGTGCTCTCTCTCTCTCTCTCTCTCTGTCTCAAATAAGTAAATAAAATCTTTAAGAAAGAGCATGTTAGGGAAAGGGAGAATGAACAGGAAAGTACATGATCTTTTAATGCAACAACCTGAGTTCAAAACTTGTTCCTGTTATTTACCAGCACTATGAACTCTGGCAGTTTACTATGTAAACTATAAACCTGATTTGTAATAATACTTACAATGTTTAACTCATGGGGTCATTAGGCAGCTTCAGTGAGATAACGAGACAGAGCGCCCAGCATATTTCCTGGAATTTGGTAATATCAGTTGCCTCTGCCTGCCTCAGGCATCATCCTAAAACTGAAAGTGCCAGGACCACATTCCTTTGCACACAGGAATCCTCTGACAACATTCCAGACAAAATGAATATTGAACATCTGTTTGAATCCTTAGCATTGATGAACACTCAACTATGAGAAACTTCCTCTTTCTGTTGATTGAATCAAACATTCATGCCATCAACTTCCACTCAGAACAAGGACATTCTATCTTTCACAAAAAGCCTTTCAAATATCTGAAGACAGCTAGCATCTCTCTCTACTCAGTTTTTCCTTATTCAGTTTCCACAGCCGTGGTTATTTTACCCATTCAGTGCCTGGGTCCTCATTACACATGGGATTTACCCTTTCCTATGGAAACCAGAGTCAATATCAGCTCTCTTGACAATCTACTCAAAGTGGATGCCACAGCCCCTGGTAACAGTGAGATCCTTACCTTTCCTGAACTGAATATTACCCTTATGTAAATAAAAGTTAATATTGACCTTTTAAGCAGCCACATAAAATATTTGTAGTAGGACTAGGAGTACCTATTATTATATTGATCTTCTACTACGTGGCAGGGAGTGTATTAATTTTATGCTACAAAGCTAGTTATTCAAGATATGTATCTTAATTTATAAATAATTCAACGCAATTTCTGTTTTAATCTCTCATTCTGCCTTAATTCGATTCCTCTCCCTTTCACCAGGCTAGTTGCTTTCTTCAGCAGGGAAGGTAGAAAAACAGGGTCCTTGATTTATCTGTATCAGCAGACATCAACCTGTCCGGTCCCTGGTCATCAGTCCACACAGGTTGTCAATCTGGTCAATGAGGCCCCTCCAGGTTTGTGTCTCTCTTTTGACTTCCTGATGGGCCATGACTGTCCATCAGCCTAGTCTCTCCAAGCAGTCCCTCCCATTCTAGGCCCTTGGCTCCTCTCTGGAATCTTAGAGATGGGAGAGGCAGCATGCAGGAAACCACTCAGCTCTCTGCTCTAATACACCCACAATCTCTCTTACTTCCCCTTCCTACCTGAGAAGGCAGATAGCTTCTCTTTCTCTGCTGTGTCTCAACATTTCATCTGTATCTCCACTCCTCTCAGTTCTCTTGGTGTGATGCTTTAGGGTATGAAAAACAAATCCAGACATCCTAAATGCTTTCTGTTTTTTCTTCTTTGCCCCATTATTTCCAGAAGCTGTGAGTATACATCAGCTTGAAGCTTGAACAGAGAGAAGGGGAGATAAATAAAGGGAAAAAGGAAAACACAAAGTTAATCTCACAAAAATATCATGCC